TTCGTCAAATGTCATTCATAATACAGGTTAGACAATAATACAGGGCTAAGATTATCACAAATAAACACAAGATTTTGACGTATATCCAAGGGTTTGTGGAGCGCGCACTGGATGACGGAAGCGCGGGCGCGAACACTTGCATTTTCCTGTCAACAGTGGAAACAACTTAAAATACTCTATAATTTATGGTCATACAGAAAATAATAATACATAATCCGCAACTACTTTTATTTGTGTAAACTCACAATAACAAGAAAACGTTCTTCTTTTGCTAAATAAATCAGGCGCGCTTTCATGATCTCCGTGAACTGGAACATGTCTCAGAAATGAACTGAAACAAAATATAGCCTATTAACGAACAAATTCAAATCGAAAGCAAATACCTTCTGATTATGTAATCCATATGAAAGGTGCATTTCTCTCTAAAGGCGCATCCCATCCGCTTTACAGTGGAGATGAAAATATGTTTGCAGTCGGCACTAACACTGTAGTTATTAATAAACAATTAAAATGCCTAGTTATTTTTTCAGACACATTTATTATCATTAGCCTATAATCACCTATAAATCACCTAGGCTATGGTTCCAGAGACATGGCTCAGTCGGGCTGGTTTTCAATTAGGCTACGGGTTAAAAAAGGAAAAATAAATGGTCGCAAAAGTACACGGACCGTTTGGACAGAATACGAGACAAAGTTCTTTATTAAATTCATAAAAGAAAAAAGAATTGCAGGAATACTGGATTCTAAACCTCAAAGAAATGCCACAATCAAGACCTTGGAGCAGGAGAAACACGCAAAAACACCTCATGTGCCGTTCACAGTATTAGGGTCTTTCCTTACCATTAATGCTTGGATAACACACCACGTCTCCTTCCATTAATAATAATAATGTCTTGTGCGGTGGCTGCACGTCTATTCACATGTGTTAAACCTAAACGTCCAAAGTCGCATAACATCGGTTAATGGAAACGCCGTCATATTGCAATAGTTTTTTATCGATATTTAGAAAAAACGCAAAAGTTTTGCGCAAATCTGTAATGGAAACGCGGCTAGTGTAGTCAGAGGTCATGACCACTACTACAGATATAAGTCGACCAACGTTACTTCTCTGATCTTAGGTTTGGTCATGACATGGTTTCCCACGTACACTAAGATTACATTAAACAGATGTAAAGTCAAATTTACACTTCTGCGTCGAACTCACGCTGTAGCTACGTACCTGCTGTGTGTAGCGCGCGTAACCTGACGTGCACCTCTCCAAAAATTTAACAATTATGCGTCAATTCTACGCGTACCGCAAGCGCTGTGATTGCTAGAACCGCTCCCTGCGTTTCACATGCATGTTCCCTCTGCATGTGTAATTGCGCGTCAAGGGGGACAACGATGCAGAGAAGTATAAATAAAAACCAAAGCGTAGTCTATAGCGTAGAGGCTCCGGCGTAGGTCCGACGCAGAATTGTAAATCAGCCTAGAGGTGAAGTGGTCGAGTACAGGTGCAACGACAAGCGGATGCGTTCCTGTGAAACTGTTGCGGTCATGCTCGCTTCACGCACGCGCACGCGCCCTCGCGCAACACAAATCATTGGAAGAGAGACTGATCCTCGGCTCGCTGTTTGTGAGTTTCCACAATCTAAATAGTTATCAGGACGTCATCAACAGAAGGGAATTAACATGGCAGCATCTCCGCTAAACTAAACGCAGGCCTATCAGGTAAAGTTATGTATAATTTTAATTTAAGTTAAAAAGTCTACAGCTGCGTAGCGGCAGTGCACAGAAGCCGTTGCAATGGTTACTATCCATGGAGCGCCTGTCATTCACTTGCGGAGCGCTGTCTCCCTTTCTGTTCACCTGAGAGAACCTGCCAAAGCCTCTCCACTGCTTGTTTGGGTGGGTTATTTGCTGGCTGACCAACATCCCACCCCTCCTGTGATCCATGGTTTGACTGTAGGCCTATGTGTATTGAGCCAGTGAGCAACGGACTTTCATAATAAAAAATAATAAAAAAAACTGCGTTAACGTGCGTTAAAAAAATTGTCGGCATTAATTAATAAATGCGTTAACGCGATAATACCGCGTTAACTTGCCCAGCCCTATTGTAATACATACTATTTGTATCATGCATCTATTTCTATATATTTATCTCGCACAAATCTTTAAAAAAAAGTTTTCTACTTATTTTTTTCAGAGTAATTCTTGTGTTCCATTTGAAGAGGATGTACAGGAGGCCCAAACGAGTGAAGAACCAAAGACTCTTTTACAGGTACATTAACACCCTTCCCCTTTTTGTGATATGATTACAGTAGAATAACATGACAGGAAGATGATTGTATTAAACAAAACAAAAAAATTCACAGATGCACCAGGAAAAAATGAAAGACAAGAAAAAGAAGAAAAAGAGCAAGAAACACAGAGATTCTGACAGCAGTGATGAGGAGGATGAAGCAAAAAAGAAAGAAAAGTTGAAGAAGGTGGGTGGACTGTTTCTTTTTAATGCCACACACAAACACACACATACTTTTATCGTCATGTGCTCAATGCATCTGTGCTCTACATCATCGGTTCCCAACAGGGGGGTAGCGGCCCACAAGGGGGCCTCAGTGAGCTCTGTGGGGGGTCGCGTTATATTTTTAAAGGCACACTGTGGAACTTTTCAACCTTTATAATATATTACCAAAACCCATTGAGATGGTACATCGACTTACAATAGGTTGAATGACACGTCTGCCGAAGCCTGAAGGTGTCTGTATCGCTTTTCCTAGCACTATGTAACTTCGGGGTTCGGGTAGGAACCCGAGCACAAAAAGAACTACAAAATTCGACCGCTTTACGGCATACGTCACTTCCCCCACCACCCACAACTTCCTCAGATTCTGACGTGAGTGCTCAACTCGCGTTTGATTGCCGTCTGTATGTTTTCGTCATGGCCGAACCAACAGCTACAAGGAAGAAGGCAAAGGTTTTGTCAGAGGACACTAAAAAAAAGAAAAAGGCATAGTGACAAATGAAAAGCCAGGACGAGGATCACCATTGGTCCAGCGTTCGCTCGCTGGCGTGAGCTACAGGAGGAGGATGGGTGCCCGACCGATGCTAACGCTTGCCTGCACACAAATGCCGTTTCCAAGGTGACACAGATAAATCAAATAAGCAGTGTAGTATTTTCTGGTATTCCGGCCACAGCCGATGGTGTTATGAGTGTAATAAAATGCCCACAGCCCATTGTTCATTTCTACACACAAACACAGCCCGCCACAGTGCAGGGCTCGCACAAATAAAATCGACTCATGTCAAATGTACATTAAATGTAGTGAACGTTCCCACGACTCAGTGCCCACAAACACTACACACAACATGTCCCACGGTTTCTGTAAAACGAAACCAACACACATAAGTTACAGTCAGCTCAGGCCGACGGTGATTTTAGTGCAGTAAATGTGCCCGGCCCGCCGTCCCGCGCCCACATTCACTCACAGACATGTTAGCACTAAGCCGCTCGCTCTCTCTCAGCAGACTGCTATAAGGGAATCGAGCGCGGCCAGGCTGCCCGCCTCAAACACTGCAAGCACACACAATCTAAAGACACGGGAAGCTGACCCACTGTCTATGGGCGGACCGGTTGACTTTTTGTTGACTTTTGCGACAGTTCTGCGGAGCTTGTGGCCTCTAGGGACGCTAGACGTGAAAGTTACAGGTCGAGCGCCACTAGTGGCCAAAAGTTCCGCAGTGTGCCTTTAAAGGTTTGAGTAATGAGCATTAAATAAAAGTCCTTTAACTTTTTTCTGTTCAAAGTTTACAAAATGTATATAATGAGCGAGTTCATCATGAATCCATTTTCCAATCCGTGTTTTTGTCTTATCCTGAACCACTATGGTACACCTATAATAAGTGTTTACATTGGGACTATTTTACACTGGTTCGGATCGCTGCCGCTGCGGAGTAGCCCAGTACCTGTGTGACTCGTCATAGACGTACACAGAGAGAAGTAGTTCCGGCTACAATGTTCTTCCAAAAGACGCATTATTCTGTTAATAAATGCAAGTTTATTATCGCTCGCTATAGCGCCAAAAGCGTAAAAATAAAGCCTCACATTGATAAAGCCTCACAAATAACATGCAAGTATTGAGGCCCCAGACAACAGTCATTTAGTAATAGCATTCTTCTTTTTTTTTTTTACCTAAACACCAGTAGGAATATTTTTGTTTTTGCATTTCAAATAGGGCCAATTTATAGGCTTGTAAAGGAAAACAATGTGTCTTTTTGTGCAGGCATTGAATGCGGAGGAGCAGAGGCTGAAGCAGGTGGCTGAACTGATGCAGATTGACGAGAGGAAGCGGCCGTACAGCAGCCTAATGGACATTCGTGAACCCACAGAGGAGGAGATGGAAGCCTTCCGCATGAAACGTTACCGAGCCGATGACCCCATGGCCTCTTTCCTGGGGCAGTGAATCAAAACTTAAATGTCTTGTGTCACCAACCACAGAGATTTCATAGTCTCAGTTAGTGTAAAATCTGATTTTGCTGAATCGGTGTTATACAAAGACTGTTGTTTTAAAAAACATGAATGGAAAAAGTCCTATATTAGTAGCTCATGACAGTCAGTTAGAAGCAGCAGTTTTTCAATTCTTTTCGCTTTGTATAAATCTGTTGTGTACTTTGTTTTTGGGCAAGTAGTAAATCAAGTAGTTTTCCTAACAATATGTGTTGTTTTTATTTTGACAGTACATAAACATTGTTTTATTAGTTGTTTAAAAATAAAGTGCCCAATGAATTACAAATTGGTTATGTTTGGTGAATCATCTGTTTTGATTGAACAAAATAGGTTCCATTCTCTCTTTCCAAGGTATTTAAATGGAAGCATAATTCAAATAACCTGAGCAGTGGTTAACATTAAACATTTATATTTATACCTAAACATGGCTTTGTTTGGTTTGTTATGCCTTTGTCTATTCAACATGCAATTCATGCCAAATTTCTTTTGCAAATACTCAGAAGTTTTTGAAGGCACACTTTACACAGCTCTTTCTTGTAGCTTTTATGTAATAATATTAAGCCATTTTTCATTGTTTTGTGGCCTGCAGAACTAAAGTATAAAAATCTGACAAGTTTTCAAATGAATCCCCTCCCACAGTTTGTTCAATTACATCATGGATGAACTATCTGGCAGAGCATGTCAGTGCTAAAACTGGGTGGATGCTTACAAAGTTGTGTGGAGGACATGTAAGATACAATCGTTTCTCAAGCCTTGTTTATATTCCCTATTTTTGATTTTGCCAAAAGGGCAGCTGGACCTTTTTTTGCATTGATACGCAAATCTCATTACTCTGGTGAGGGCTTTTTCCAATGCATGCTTTAAATGTGTTGTTAAATTGTGTACTTTCGTCAGTTACTTAGATTTACTACCTAATTAAAACCTAAATCTTTACTAATAACTGCATTATTCGCAACCTGCATGTATATAATGTGATTATTGGTGCTTGTTTCCATGCACAACTCTTTATATGTATATACAGGAAATCCATGGAAATTCCCCAGAACACAAATCTGGCCCCATCTGCTCTTTTTGCAGGCACAGCTGCATCATGCACCAGTTACCACTGGCTGTTTGCCTGCTGTCTCTGTTCTCTGTGACTATTGACTCATCCAAGAAGGGACGCAACTTCACCATCCATTCATCTCAGCTTAGCTGCAGTTTGCCAGGCCCTCGGGGTCCTCCAGGGAGTCCAGGTACAGCAGGTCCCAGCGGTAGCGTAGGCAAGATGGGGATGCCGGGGGTTGATGGCCAGGATGGCAAGGATGGTGACAGGGGAGGGAAGGGAGAGACAGGTACCGTATATTTTGCAGCTGTAATACCATTAATGAAAAATAATATTCAAATGTAAATGTAAAATTAGATTGTCCTTTTTTTTTATTTTGACCTGATATGTATTCGTTTTGATTTCTATTACTTTTTATTTTTATTCATATAATTGTTTATTTATAGTATCTCTGTAGCTCAAGGTGACTTTAAAATATTTTTAAGTATAAATATGAAATCACATTTGGATTTAAAAAATCACAATGAAAATCAAATGGGTGAGTTGTTTCAGATTAGGTGGTACAAATGTGTGAATATTTATTCTCACATGTCAGGTGAACAGGGTCGCCCTGGGAACCCTGGAAAACATGGACAACAAGGACGCCCAGGACTTGTTGGGAAGGCAGGGCCAAGGGGCCTAAAAGGGGTGCGTGGGGCACCTGGTGTGTCTGGAGTCACTGGGATCAGAGGAGAGGTGGGAAGTAAGGGGGAAACTGGTGCCCCCGGGGGCTGTGACTGTGGAACAGAGGCACGATCTGCTTTCTCTGTAGCGGTAACCAAGAGCTATCCCAAGGAACGCACGCCCATTCGCTTTAACCGAATTTTAATGAACGAGGGTGGTCATTACAATGCCACCAGTGGCAAGTTTAACTGTGTAATTCCTGGTGTGTATTACTTCACATATGACATCACGTTGGCTAACAAACACCTGGCAATTGGGCTTGTTCACAATGGCCAGTACAAGATCAGAACATTTGACGCTAACACAGGAAATTATGATGTGGCCTCAGGATCAACAATACTCAGACTGCAAAAAGGAGATCAGGTCTGGCTTCAGATCTTCTATTCAGAACAAAATGGACTGTTTTTTGATCCATTCTGGGCTGACAGTCTTTTCACAGGATTTCTTATTTTTGCTGATCAGGTGACTCCAAAAGAGGCAAATATAGGATCATCCTGAGTGAACTTTATATCTGTCTCAAATACATTTTATAAAATGACCCCCAATAATCCTGTGTTTACAGACCCACCACATCAGTATTAGAGCAAAATGAGGGACAAAAGTGATTTTGATTATTGATTAAATATTGACAAACATGAGTTGTCAAGACCTAAATCTATTCCTTATGTATTATGGAAAACTATTTTCTTGCTACAAGTATTTTGCAACCTTGACACTAATCTTAGGCCTTTTACCTCAGTGGACTTTTAGTACTGTTAGACATACATGACCTTTGACCTTCTAAAAGGCTGATGTTGTTGTTTTTCCTCGTTCAATTGTTTATTTACTTTTCACATCATGTATGTCCACTATGGTTCAAAGGTTTAGTGTGACCTTATCTTATTGGAACACGCTGTCATTAGAGATATGTGAAACCCTCCTTTTGAATCATATTGTCTGAAAATAGCAGTCAACCATGCTGCTGTCGTCATCTAATCAATAGGTTCATGAGCAAAAACACTACTATGGAAGTAAAATAATCCCAAATGTTTTTGAAACAAAAAGCCTGTTGAATTGTACTACTTGAAAAAAATATGCATTGCATTAACCCTGCTTGTATTTTAATGCATTGTATTTTTAGGGCTTGCATTTTTATAGGCTGAAATTTAGCATGGTTAAATATTTAAGCAGTGAATATTTCAAATCAAAACATTTCAAACACATTTTCATTAGTAAAATTTCAATAATCCATATTCACCTTTCATATTTCATTTCCCAAATATTCAAACTGATTAAAAATACAACCTAAAATATTCAACAGGCGGTTTTCGGTCCATTTTATTTCGCTTTGCAAATTCGCTTCCACAAATTCAGTGGTTCAAATTCGACAGTAAATTCAACATTGACATCCAGGAGCTGCAGGAAAAGTAGTAGATTACCGAGCATAATCTCCATCTGCTGTTAGTCGACCACACCAGCAGGGGGTGCAAGCGCGTGTTGTTGACGAAGACCAGAGCAACAGTTAGTGCAAGCCATTCATTCATAAAAACTTATTTACAAAAATGTAAGTGTATTTGTGATTATTATGACGTCTGTTTTATGTGAAATTCAGTGTGTTCACGATTACTTTTCCTGTGTAGCCTACATGCATCTTTCTCTACCATGAACGATAATGTTATTCCCCCGATGCGGATATACAGATCCAGTGTTACATTTGACATATTTCTCTTGGTTGTTTAGTTGCCTTCACCTTATATTGCAGCGATGTGCTGCATGCAGTACTAGGGTTTGGTTTCCCTCAATATGTCAGGATTCCCCTGCTGGACATATAAAACGCTTAACGTAGCTTAATGGACATAAAAGACCAAACTCGCAGGCTAGCAGATGGACTCAGAATATGAATTTAACGCGCAAAGTTTAATGCTGAGCGTTTCCCAGTGATATACTGGCATAAATTTGGTTTGACATTGGACATTCGCACATTTAGGGACCGTCTCTAAAGTTACATACGACATTGGTATACACGTTTCTAACTTAAATACCATTTGAAAAGAACGACTTACAGTCATAAAACCAACTGTAAAGTGTTCGTGTAGGTGTCAGGCTCAGGCATAATGCGCAATTTATTCAAATAGATTGAAGTTTGCTATTGAAGTTAGAAACGTTTAGGCCTATAGGACTTGTTACTTTAGAGACGGTCCCTAAATGTGCGAATGTCAACCCAATTTTACATTTAGTCTTTTAGCTGGCACTTTTATCCAAAGCGACTAGTTAAACTAACAATATAGAACAACAATATGAAAGTGCTACTTCCCAGTTTAATCTAATGCAGTATATGTACAATACATACTTTCCAAATAAGGTGCGAGTTTGGTCTTTTATATCACTGTACTGTAGTCCATTAAGCTACTTAAGCGCTTAAGTCCTGACGGAATTCGGGGAATCTTTGAGTATGATGATGTATTGAGGGAAACAGATTATAATCCCGTTCACTGTAGAAAAGGCTGATAACATAAGGCTACACAGGGAAAGTAACAATGAATGAAACATAAAAACAGCTTTTGTGCCTTTAGATATCATCTTTTCCGCATATATACTGACCCAGATAATCGTCACAAAAAACGTAATGCATGCTGAGTTTTTATGAATGAATGGCTTGCTCTAGTCTAACTGTTGCTCTGGTCTTCTCAACAACACGCGCTTGCACCCCCTGCTGGTGTGGTCGACTGACAGCAGATGGAGATTATGCTCGGTAATCTACTACTTTTCCTGCAGCTCCTGGATGTCAACGTTGAATTTACTGTCGAATTTGAACCACTGAATTTGTGGAAGCGAATTTGCAAAGCGAAATAAAATGGACCGAAAACCGCCTGTTGAATATTATAGGTTGTATTTTTAATCAGTTTGAATATTTTGGAAGTGAAATATGAAAGGTGAATATGGATTATTGAAATTTTACTAATGAAAATGTGTTTGAAATGTTTTGATTTGAAATATTCACAGCTTAAATATTCAACCATGCTAAATTTCAGCCTATAAAAATACAAGCCCTAAAAATACAATGCATTAAAATACAAGCAGGGTTAATGCAATGCATATTTTTTTCAAGTAGTGCAATTCAACAGGCTTTTTGTTTCAAAAACATTTGGGATTATTTTACTTCCATACACTGCTGACATAAACAGTGCAGTAATTAAACCTAAGGTCATTCAAGTGATCATTAAAGAATATGTAAAGACATTATGCTTATGGGTTATTTGTATCGTGCTGCAGCAATGAGCAATTTGTCCTCCTTCATTTCCCACTGCAAAGTCAATCTGTACACACGAATTTTAGACATATTTTAAAAGAACGATCGCCTTTCGTTTTATTAAAGCTATAATAATTCCAGCCATTGTTGAGCCTAAAAGGTAGGCTACGAGTGATTATTCTTACCGGGTAATTCTCGCTATGACAAGAAAATCATGTAACCAAATATGGAATGTGCGTTGGAAAACCGTACAATGTGCGTCAATGATGACGATGTATTCTAATTTCCATACGTCTTAGCACTTTCGACTCTAATTGGCGGGAGTAGCTCTAAGTCCCTCCCATTGTCCGCCTTTTACTTCAGAAAAAGCACAAGGTGTCCTTTGACAGTAGGGCTAAACCATTCATTGGTGTGTAGTTGAATATCGTGTTATAACATCTTGCTATTTTGTATCTTTCCCTAAACGAGTTTGGGATTTGTTTCTAATGTTGAAGTCTTAAACATAGTATTAATATTTCATATGTATAATGACTCAATACATTATGTTATTATTTTTTTAGTTCATGAAGACTCAATCTTCTAATCTCCCCTATCGAAATATAGTTCACTTGTCACCCTGGAAAATGACGACACTTCTACCGGCATTTTTCCATACAGCGAAAAGACATGTCTAAGTAATGTCCAAAATGTATTTTACAAGTGTTATATAGGTTAGTAAACTTATTTCTTCCGTATCCATACCATAATTTGTTAGAGTGAATCAGTTTAAACCGAGGTTCGAGGGACTGTCAACTTAAGAATAATAATGCATCCCGCCCGGCGCTGTTCATCGCTGTTTCATCGAGACCTGGCCGCAGTCTGTCTGTCATCACTGGGGACACATCCAAAGAAATCCGGTCCGCTGAAGGAAAGCAGCCTTCCGAGTTCACGACTCTGTGTTCATCCTTCTCCAACCAGGTCCAACTCCTCACCCGTTCTTCTCGGTTCTTTTCAAGGTAATTTAATTTAAGATTCAATCACATATTCCCTTGCTACTACATTTAACCAAGTAAGTTAGTTATGCTCATACGACGACGCACACAATTCTGTCTAGAAAGGCAAATTAATATTCATATTCGGTTTTGAGAGGGGAGGGGGGTCTTGTGGTTCAGTGTGAGAGAACTGAGGAGAATCTTAGGAGACACACGACTAAACTTAAAGAATGTAACGTTAGTTGTGATCACCATAGCGTGGCCCTCATGCCACAATTGACTCATGTAACTTACAGTAAGTGGGAGTTATGACTTGTCACATAACGTTACATCCTGAGGTGTGGAAACATACAGCAGTTTCCCATAACTACTACTACTACTACTGAGTTTTATTCAGATGCATTCAAGTTAAAGTGTGATTTTTAATTGTCTAACAAATCTGTCACTGAAGAGCAGTGTTTTAGTTTTTAACAGTTGTATTTAGCTTTATTCTTTATTTCAGCTTTAGTTTGAGTGATTTTAGTATAACTTGTTTCAGTTCGTTGACAACTATGCCAGTGCCACATTTCTAGTTTCCATTGAAGTTTGTTTAATTTGATATTTTATCTATTTTATTTTATTTTTAATCTAATATTTATATTTTATTTTAGCTTTATTACCTGAAAATTATTTTTTAGAATTTTTGGTTTTGGTTTTAAGAAAATTTGATATATTTATATATATATATATATATATATATATATATATATATATATATAATTTAATAGTATTATATTTAGTTTTTCTTAATATTGTTTGTTGAATTTGGTGTTCTGTACTTGGATCTATTCTAGAGTGCATTCAAGGTAACTTGATAGTCCTGCTAAAGGTCAGAAAACAGTGCAGCATAAACAGCCCCATATGCCAAGGGTTCGATCCCCTTAAACAGTTTTTCCTTGCTTATCTGAGTGAGATATGCTCTCTTGACTTGTGTTACATTTATCAAACTTCATCATTTGTGCAGTTTTCTTGTAGCATTAAACAGTAATGACACAATGTTAATGGATGTCTGTGTTTAGCTTATGAAAAGATGGAAGGTGACAAGCACATACTGTAAACCAAAAGTTGTTGTTAACCATCAAACAGAACAGCGATTCTAGCTCTGTGTGAACAAAGCCCCCTGCAGGGCCGCTCTTGTCCAAGGGATTTGACCTGGTTTAAGACAAGGTCTGGGAACAGTGATGTTATGCAATTTATAAGGTAATTTATAAGATAATAAGGTAAGCAAATATTCAATATTGCATGGCCCAAAGGTAAAAAAAAAAAAAAATCAGCCACTGAAAAATCCATGATTATTGACTAAATATTGGGTTATGTGTTTCTCCCAATGTCTATGTTGATTAAGGCCCTGGTCCAAGGTGAAGCTTCTCTTTAAATGTCATTTCAATAATGACAACTGGAATAGCTTTAGCATGTTATTAAATACGGGGCCCGGGGGCCCCTAGTATCGTCACCACCTTTCGCACCGGTAGCGATGGCCGTAAGCATGTAAGATATGCTGCCGCTGCATAAAAATAGACATACATAAATCCTGTAGCAGGTCTAAGCAGGTGGAGCTGGGGGAGATGGAGGGTTTCAGATGAACTCTGAAAGCGCACCTCAGGTCTAGCTTTCAGCAAACAGTGAACCAGACTATTTAAATGTTAAGCATTGGCTGCAGGATCAGCTGAAGCCAATCATCTTGTGTCATGCGGTAATGATATGTGATTGCTTGCAGACTCCAAGTAAAGGATCTATCAGCCTGCCTCTAGAGTTTCATAAATGAACTAGATATTTAGGCATAGTTTTTAGGTTATAGTTGGTGTGCTGTGAATTATCTTCATACCTAATGAAATTGTCATCGTTTCTGTTAAACAGAGAATAACTTTATATTTGGTCCCTAATTCTCCCATGCAATAGTTTTACCAAGCGTAATGTTACATCACACTACACAAACAGGTCTTGACTCACTATGCAGCAGGCAAATATGAAGTCTCGCTTCATGATCTTACATGAGTCAAATGAAGTGGTAAATGTCAGAGCTTGGGGGAGAGCGCTCAGCGATGTGTAGAATGAGCATTAGTTATGTAATGAGGATTTATAATCTCTTCTTGTGCTTCCAAATCAACTGTATATTTTTTCTCTGGTTTAGGTGATAGGTTGACATTTTTTAACACTTTAAAATTCATTAGTTTTTAATGCAGTAGGTATCATGAATTTAAGATAAAATTTAATTTTTCTTTTACAGCATTTATTAATCTAGGTTCATGTTAATTTATACATATACTATTCATTGTTATTTTATAATTTTTTATAATGCATAAAAATTATAAATTTTTACTGTCTAAAATTTTATAAATGTATTAGTATATAGTTTGGGGTTGGTATGATTTTTTTAATGTTTTGAAAGGAATCTCTTATGCTCACAAGGCTACATTTACTAGCTCTAAAATAAAGTAAAAAACATAATATTGATATTCATAATTACAATTTAAAATATTTTAAAATTGTATATATTTTAAAATATCCTTGCTGAATTTTCAGCATCATTACTTCAGTCTTCAGTGTCACATGATTCTTCAGAAATCACTCTTATACGCGGATTTGGTCCTCAAAAAACACTTATTATCGTCAATGTTGAAAAGAGTTGTGCTGCTTAATATTTTTATGGAAACTGCTACATTTTTTTTCAGGGTTTTTTTTATGAATGAAAGCTCAAAAGAACTACATTTATTTGAAACAGAAATGTTTGTAACAGTATAAAAGTCTTTATCGTCAGTCTTGATCAAATTAAAGCAACACCAAGGAACTTTTCCTCTGCGGTCGCCCTACAGGTTGGAAGTGGAATTGTCCATTACTGCTGTCTTAAATCATTTAGCCTACCGCATCCTACTGTCGCACGCGCAGTCGCGCACGCTCGCTGTTTATCCAGCACCGGCTTTGGAATCAACAATGGCCACAGACAAGGTAGAGTATGATGCATGATTTTATGAAAGACATCACAAACGAAGAAAAACGAAATAATGACATTGCTTGCTTTTTTATATATAGTTTTTATTTTGTGTAACAGTAAACTTGAAACGGTATAACAGCAAGATAGGTTTACACAACCTATCTTTGTCCGGCCTTTTACTTGATCACTCACCCTTTTCCTCTTCCGAGTCTCCTCCTTTGTCTTCTTAGTTTTTGTTACTGCTTCGGCCATGACAAAAACATAAGCACGAAAGCCGGAAAACAAACGCTGGTTGGCCTCTCACGTCCGAATTTGAGGAAGTGGTGGGGGAAGTGACGTATGCCGTAAAGCAGTCGAATTATTTGTGCTCCGGTTACTACCCGGAACCTCAAACCGAGGTTGAAAAACTACATAGTGTTACTTTAATGCATCCTTGCTGAATAAAAGTTTACGATTTGTAATTTCTTTAAAAAAATCTTAACTGACCTCAAACTTTTAACAGTATGTAGAAATTATTATCAACCAAGAATAATAAATGCTGTAAAAGTGTTTTTCGTTTTTAGTTCATGAAATCTAAAGCATGAACTAATGTTAACGAATTGAACTTTATTGTAAAATGTCAGTGAAAAATTGTGACAAATGTGACAAATCCCAGACTGATCTCATGAAATGGCGTATGTATGACACGCCAATTCGTATTTCAATTTTTGGCGTGCTATCAACACGCATAATCGCTTTTCAGCGTGTTTATCAACGCCGTTGACTTTAACGTTACATTACTGTACCCCAACCCCGTCCCTAAACCTACCCGTCACTGGGGTTAATACCATTTATGAGTCTTCCCCTACCATCCTAGGAAAAAATATCGCTCCCCAGATGTAGATCTACATTTTGCTTCGTTTCGCTCGGACATTTAACGGCGTGTACATACACACGGCATCACTCGGACATTTAACGGCGTGTACATACACACGGCATCACTCGGACATTTAACGGCGTGTACATACACACGGCATCACTCGGACATTTAACGGCGTGTACATACACACGGCATCACTCGGACATTTAACGGTGTGTACATACACACGGCATCACTCGGACATTTAACGGCGTGTACATACACACAGCATCACTCGGACATTTAACGGCGTGTACATACACACGGCATCACTCGGACATTTAACGGCGTGTACATACACACGGCATCACTCGGACATTTAACGGCGTGTACATACACACGGCATCACTCGGACATTTAACGGCGTGTACATACACACGGCATCACTCGGACATTTAACGGCGTGTACATACACACGGCATCACTCGGACATTTAACGGCGTGTACATACACACAGCATCACTCGGACATTTAACGGCGTGTACATACACACGGCATCACTCGGACATTTAACGGCGTGTACATACACACGGCATCACTCGGACATTTAACGGCGTGTACATACACACGGCATCACTCGGACATTTAACGGCGTGTACATACACACGGCATCACTCGGACATTTAACGGCGTGTACATACACACGGCATCACTCGGACATTTAACGGCGTGTACATACACACAGCATCACTCGGACATTTAACGGCGTGTACATACACACGGCATCACTCGGACATTTAACGGCGTGTACATACACACGGCATCACTCGGACATTTAACGGCGTGTACATACACACGGCATCACTCGGACATTTAACGGCGTGTACATACACACGGCATCACTCGGACATTTAACGGCGTGTACATACACACGGCATCACTCGGACATTGAACGGCGTGTACATACACACGGCATCACTCGGACATTTAACGGCGTGTACATACACACAGCATCACTCGGACATTTAACGGCGTGTACATACACACAGCATCACTCGGACATTTAACGGCGTGTACATACACACGGCATCACTCGGACATTGAACGGCGTGTACATACACACGGCATCACTCGGACATTGAACGGCGTGTACATACACACGGCATCACTCGGACATTGAACGGCGTGTACATACACACAGCATCACTCGGACAT